ATGCCCCCTGGAGTTGTTCGCACCAATGAGGACCACATGAGAAAACATGTACTTTATGAGGGGGTTGAAAGCCGAAAAAGGTCTTGGAAAATTGAGAGGAGTAAGCCCTTCTGGGGAGTGTAAGGCTTAAGTCAGAAAATAAAGTTGGAAGCCTGGAATAAGTGGAAGGTTATCAATACCATAGCTCCCGAGAGGCATTTTTCATGTCTTTCCTACCCTATGCAGGACTTTCATGATCAAACTTCTGCAGACTGTAAAAAATTAATAAACAGAAACCTCAGTTAAAATGGGGTCAGTGGGGCTTCCCTGGTGGCACAGTGGTTAAGAATCTGCCTGCCAATGCAGGGGACACAGGTTCGAGCCCTGGTCTGGGGAGATCTCACATGCCGTGGAGCAACTAAGCCCCTGCACCACAACTGCTGAGCCTGCACTCTAGAGCCTGCGAGCCACAACTACTGAGCCCCCGAGCTGCAACCACTGAAGCCTGCGCACCTAGAGCCCATGCTCTGCAACAAGAGAAGCCACCGCAATGAGAAGCCTACGCACCACAACAAACAACAAAGTGTAGCCCCCACTCGCCGCAGCTAGAGGAAGCCCGCACATAGCAATGAAGACCCAATGCAGCCAAAAATAAATAAATTAATTAATTAATTAAGTTTTTTTGTTTTTTTTTTAATGGGGTCAGGGGACTTCCCTGGTGGCACAGTGGTTAAGACTCCACACTCCCCGTGCAGGGGGCCCAGGTTCGATCCCTGGTCAGGGAACTAGACCCCACATGCATGGCACAAATAAGAGTTCACATGCCACAACTAAGGAGCCTGCGAGCCACAACTAAGACCCAGTGCAACCAAATATATATATATATATATATATATTATTTTTTTTTTTTTTTTTCTTTTTTAAGTGGGGTTGGGAGACAAGAAGAGGGAGCTCTCATGCCTTGTGGCAATAGCAGAGCCCAGTAGGGAGAAAGACTCCTCTCCTTTCCTGGCAAAGACTCAGGCAAAGAATAGCTTTTGTTTACTGTAGTCCTTCCAACTTCCTTTTCCTCTCTATGAAAGTGTTCTCCTTTCCTTGCTGTGGGAGTACTTGCATGTGGCTCACCATGGTTGCAGGTCCTGAATTGCTATTCTCTGCTGATCCCAAATAAACCCATCTTTGCTGGAAAACTATTTGGCAGTCTATCTGGTTTAGGTCAACAAGACAAAAAACAAAACAAAAATGATACCAAAGCCCCAGGAAAGTTGACATCTGTACAGTCGTATGAGGGAGGAGCCAGGACAAAGGAGTATGGCAGAAAGGGTTCATACACAGCATCAGCTAGAGATGGCTTCACACCTTCTGGAGAAAAGACTTAGGCGTGAGGAAAGACTTAGTCTCGAGCCCTGGTTGGTTCTAGTTGGGCAAGTTGGGGCTGCTAAAAGCTACTGCTCAGTAGCCAACAGAGGAGGGCCAACTGGAAGAGGCTGAAGAGCTAGCAGGAGCCATGGTCCCCATATTTTTCTGTCTTGCCAAAGCCTTTGGTTACCCTGGCTCTTACCTATTTACAGGTTGTCTAGAGGTGACTAATTTGTCGTGATTTATCACAACTATTTTCAAATCTCTAATGTGCCCTGTCAGAACCTTCTCTGTAAATGATTTGGTTCCTACAGAGATGAAGTGTACAAAGAGTAGTTCCTCCTTAATTTAAGACTAGATGTTTGAGAAGGTAGCAGTCAACCCAGACCACAACAGAAGTTGAGGTGGCATTTTAGAATCAGAAATGTGATGCAAAAAGATAAATAAATAACAACATTAAAACATTTTCTCTCTTGCTTTTTTCATGTGAAATTAATATTTCAGTTTTTCTGTGCTTGGTATTATCTCCCTTTTCCAAGTTTCTCATACTCTCAATATTTAATTTTTATAAAATTAAGTAAAGGATGAATTAAGTGTGATTTTTATGTTCCACTACAAATGTTTTAAATCTTTATCTTCCCAAGTTAAAAATATTCATCCTCAAGAAGTCCATTTACAAAACCTGATAGTTGTGACTTTGTGAGAACGGTAGCACTCTTTCTATTTCTAAAGGCACAAAAGAACAGGGACTTCCCTGGTGGCGCAGTGGTTAAGAATCTGTCGGCAAATGCAGGGGACTCAGGTTCGAGCCCTGATCCAGGAAGATTCCACATGCCGCGGGGCAACTAAGCCCGTGTGCCACAACTATTGAGCCTGTGCTCTAGAGCCCAGGATCCACCACTACTGAAGCCCACGTGCCTAGAGCCTGTGCTCTGTAACAAGAGAAGCCACCGCAATGAGAAGCCTGTGCACCGCAATGAAGAGTAGCCCCCTGCTCGCCACAACTAGAGAAAGCCCGCGCACGGCAATTAAGACCCAATGCAGCGGAAAATAAACAAATAAATTTATTTTTAAAAAAATAAAAATAAAGGCATTGAAGAACAAAAATAAAAGCATTTCTCATAGTTAGGTCCAGATGATGCCAAGAGGTAATGTAACATAACTAGGTCGAGCAAACATAAATTTATTAGTCTTTTACACTTTTACTTTCCTTATCTGCAAAATGGAGGTTTTTTATAATACCTACTGTACAGACTTGAGTGTGGATTGAAAGAGAGAGTGAAGTCTGGTACATAGTGAGATTTCAATAACTGACAGAAAAGCAATGAAATAAAAACAATGATTTCCTACTCTAGCTCTATTTTAGATGTAGTTGACAAAGTTTCTCTTGTGAGTTAACCAATCCAATATTGAAAGCACTATGGTAATTATACATAAATAATTTTACAAATTTATAATTATATATTTAAAAGCACTTTCCCATTAAAATTTTTAAATAATTTCTTTTCATTGCTATGATATGATGGCATCTGTCTTTAATATATCTGTGTATATTTTATACCAGTAAAGAATAGAATATATATGTAATTGCTAAATAGCTCCATCAAATGAACATTAAGATCAAGTAATAGCCGAGCATACATATCACTTTCTAACAAATAGTCTCACCTCCTTATAAATCTAAATATACACAGTAGTAGTATTTGGCCATATATACTGTTTTTTATTATGGCCATATGCAATATCTATTCCATTATTTGGCAAAAAATGAATTAAGTACAATTTTATGTGCTGTAGAAAATATTTTAAAACTTTATCTTGCCAAGTTAAAAATGTTTTTTCCTCAAGAAATCTGTTTACAAAACATTTACAGAAAATGCTATCTGAGACTTTTTTTACATTAATAATAATTTCTATTTCTTAACAAGAAGCATGTCTCAGAACAGTTTTTCTCATATTTTAAAAGGAATTTGCCCATAAATTAGATACAAATGTGTATGGAATTTTTAATCCTTTAAGAACAGCTAATTAAATCTTTTTTCCTAGGTGCCTCTGGTTTAGGCACGCTGTGTGTGGTACTTCCCGTGGTTTGTCATTTTGCTTTAATGGCAGGGGAAGAAACCAGCAAAGCTCAGTAACCACACTGCATATCAAAATGTCGCCATGGCAGCATTTGTCCACTTGTCAGAGTCGTTCTGTGTGACTCAGCCATTCATTTTGTTGAATCAATATTGAAGCTTTTGAGATTTATTACTTGAGGTTTGGGAGCAAGCAAGGCAAACAAATCCTTCGTTCCTAATATCAAGTTCTATTTGGGTCAAGATTATGATTTCTGTCGACACTTTATTTATGAGGATAGACTATAAGGTTTCCACTCTTTGCATAATTATCTTGTAATAAGCTTACATTTACATGCCTGATAATACAGTGAAAAAGAATTTAAAGTTTCTAAAAACATTCTGTGGACTGTGGTAAGCTTGTCAAATGCTGAATTCAAATATCTAATTTCCTGGGCGATATGGGGGAGGAGGGCAGGGAGGAGAGATTTTCTTTTGATAGAAAATCTTTAAATCTTTAATATACGATTCCTTAAATTCCATTTTTATATATCCCATCTAGAGGCATAATTAATAACCAGGACAAGCATGTTAACTACTAAATCTTTCTGTTTATTAATGTCCACTTTCCCCCTTCAACAAATATAAAATTGTAAAACTCATCTTTTCTATTTTCAAATACTGAGATTTCTTCAAAATTTTTTTTATAATCACATAAGTTTCAAGTGGATAGGGTCACAAAATGAGTCTGATTTCTCAGTCTAAATACTCCCTGTGTGTATTTTCAGTTATCACTGGGCTAAATTCAGTGTACAGCTCACCAATACTGTCCAACAATGAAATGAGAAATTTTCACAAGTATGGATCTGCCCGGTGAGACCCTGAAATGTCTTTGAAGCTTCATTGACATATTGGGCAGGCTAATGTGAGAGAGGGCAAGGTTCTCTTCAGTATTCCTCCTTTATACATCTTCCCAGACCCAAGGAGTCTCCCATTTAACATCTTCTGACCTAAGCCAGTCCTACAACGATCCACACAGGACGCTGTGATGCAATTATCTTCAGTGGGGCGAGTCTACACCAGATAAAATTATGACGTCATCGGGGTTGGGCCATAGGATCTGCTATCCCAGGACCCCCAAGTTCTACCAAGAACTTCTTCAAACTGAGGTAATGTTTATTTTACCAATGGCTGCAAGGAAACAAAGCCACTGCAAACAAAGCTCCCGCTGTCTATTCCCCACATGGGTGGGAAAATCAAGCCCAGTTGGAAGAGAGGTTTGACGGATGCTATGTTTGGAGATCACGCAGGGCCTTGCAAAGTATATGTATGCGTGGGTGCTTGTCTACTTAAAACAGACATCGTTGCCAGCAGCCTTAGACTTAAGTTTGGAGGGCTTCACGTTCCAAATATCCAGTCAGCTTTCTTAACTTAAACAATTTCATACAGCCACAGGAATTTCAACTCATACTGAAATGCATATGAGTACTCTTTGCAGTTTCTGGCTAAGGTAATGAAAAAGTTTTTGAAGTGGATCATGATGATATATAACATCGTGAATGTAATTAATGCCACTGAACTGATGCTTAAAAATGATTAAAATGGCAAACTTTATGCTATATTTATTTTACTATTACTTTTCAACATTAATAACGTTATATATCAAAAACCATTGAATTGTACATTTTAAATGGATGAATTGTATGGTACATGAATTATATCTCAAGAAAATGGTTTAAAGAAAGGAAAGAAAAAAAGAGTATTCTGCAGAAAGCTTCATTGCTTTGTCTGTAGCTTGTATTGTAAGTCAGGTCATATCAGAAAAGTTACACTGGAATTGTCTCACTTTTCAGAAAATCTAAATTCTTTTGAGTTTTTCTCTTTGTAGGGTTCTGAAAAAGAAAAAAAGGTTTTTAAGATTGTGCTTGAAAGAGTACTATGCAGACAAATACAGCCTTAGCATTGCATTAGAGTAATCCCACATGGAACACTCCCAAACAAAATGTTCACTCATACTCCTTAGTTTTTCTTTTTTCTCTTTTTCCTTTTCTTTTTTCTTCTAAAAGCAAAGAAGTGAATTGTGAATATTTCCTACAAGAAATGCTGAGCTGGTTAATTTTTGATAATTATAAAATCACGGGTGGTCACCAGTTCAAAGAAAATCTTTCCCAAATAAAACCAATTATGAGCAGAGATTTTAACTGTGTCCCTTAATCCACTGCCAAAATGCGGTGTCAATAGAATAGAATGTGAAAGCTGCAGCTTTGATATGAAAGGTACTGAAAGTATTCATCTTTTGGTAGTTGTTCTGCCACCATATGGAATGGAATAAAAGAAGAAAGAATTATGCAGCATCAACTTGAATTATGCAATTGGAGAAAAGGGAAAGCAAATCATAACCAGATGTGTCTAAGCATACATTTTTATTGTAAAAATTTCCTTTGGTATCACCAGGCACCCAACACACTCTGCTGGCAGTGTGAAGTAATTGAAAATAATATAAAAGAAAAAATTTAGACTAACATATATTATCATTTATTTACAGCAGAGAAATACTATCAGAAATGCCTTTAAAACATCAATATTAGGCTGAACCACATGAAACTGATATTTTCTTACGTTAAAATGGTCAAACAATGGCAAAATTGTTGAATAGTAGCAATTTTATATAATTTAATCTAATACACAATTTTCCTCCTAATTTAGAGTGGCAGCCCATTCGGTTCTTTATCATCATCATTCAATAGAATAAAAGACATTTATTTAATTTTATGCAGTTTATTTAATTTTAAATTATTTAACATTTTCAGCCCCTTTCCCTAAACACATGAATGAATTAATGTTCCTTTTTCCCCCTTTTTTTTTTTTTTGATTTATTTTTTTGTCTGCCTTGGGTCTTTGTTGCTGCACGCAGGTTTTTCTCTAGTTGTGGAGAGCGAGGGCTACTCTTTGTTATGGTACACGGGCTTCTCATTGCGGTGGCTTCTCTTGTTGTGGAGCATGGGCTCTAGGCATGCAGACTTCAGTAGTTGTGGCATGTGGGCTCAGTAGTTGTGGCTCGTGGGCTCTAGAGCACAGGCTCGGTAGTTACAGTGCATGGGCTTAGTTGCCCCACGGCATGTGGGATCTTCCTGGACCAGGGCTTGAACCCATGTCCCCTGCATTGGCAGGCGGATTCTTAACCACTGCACCACCAGGGAAGCCCTTTCCCCCTTGTTTAATAAATATTTTATAAGTTGGATATACTTACAGTTACTTACTTAAAATTTTTCACTCGTCCTTCTGTTAGGGGTACTCTCAGACAGTCGTGAGGCATTCCAGTGGAGGCCCTTCTCTATTTGAGATGATGGTAGGAGGAGAAAACTCTTTTCCAGATCGACTCTGCTCCTATAACCGTTCTACAAAATGGGGACATAAACAATGTGCCAGGCTTCCTCCCTTTGCTACTTTGAGGGGCCCAGAAGCAGGTAGTATGGGCGCGTTGAGGGATTGGAGGAGCTGAGAGAGAGGTGTAGGGCTGCTGGAGTGGAACTGAGTGGAATTTAACCCAAATGGAACTAGAGGGCAAAAGCAGATCCTACTATGGATGACCATCCTACCTCCAATCAGAAACACCACATCTCCTCTAGGATCTCGAGAGAAAGCCTAGCGCTGGAAAACAGAAGGTAAAGCCAAAGATGAGAAGCTGGCTCATCTTAGGAACAGTGTGAAAGGAGAGAAGAATGGGAAGCAAGAAGAGGGGCAGAATGGGGCTGAGTTGAAAGAGACAAAGAACTCTGCCACTGAGCACTGCCTGCACAACCTAGTTTAAAGATGTAGTACTGGGAGTTGGATGGGGAAGTGGACAAGCACTGTCCATGTTCCAGGCTCAATGGCCAGAGCAGAATGGGTTTCCCAACACATGCTTGGCCCATGCTCAGACAACTGTGGTTGGCTCCCATTGTAGGGGCAGGATTTGGGTGGTACTACTGAAAAATATTATGTTGTCAGTGATAATCTCCTCCATTCAACAACTGGAAAAGTTCTGTTTGCAGTTCACACTGTTTGCAGTTCACAAAACTGTGCTTAGCACACATCTCTGGACATTTCCCAGCAGGAGAATAACCATTAAACAACTCTTCCTAAATTAAAGTCAAAGATCAGAGGCAGTCTGGCAGTGATGGAGGATGACGCTGTTTTCCAGAGTTACCTGAGGAGAAATACTGGAAAGGGGTTCCACACCAAAGTAGCCAGTTTATTAAATTAACCCAGTTTTGTTCTTTCTCACCACTGACTCATTAAAGCTACACTGCATTCTTCTCTGTCCCAGGATGAAATCTTGGGTGGATCCCATGTTTCACATTCACTTTTCAACTACTAACAAATGATCTCATGCTCAGATAGTATAAGCAAAGCTTAACCTCCCTCCCATTTATGCTTTGAGAGTCAGTCTGTTCTTGCTTGTGTCTGATCCAGGTGATAAAGCCTACAATGGAGAAGGAGGGCATGGTCATTCTTTTTCTTGATTCCTCCCAACTCTTTTTTTTGCAGTGCGCGGCCTTCTCACTGTTGTGGCCTCTCCCGTTGCGGAGCACAGGCTCCGGACGCGCAGGCTCAGCGGCCATGGCTCATGGGCCCAGCCGCTCCATGGTATGTGGGATCTTCTCGGACTGGGGCACGAACCCGTGTCCCCTGCATCGGCAGGCGGACTCTCAACAACTGCGCCACCAGGGAAGCCCCCTCCCAACTCTTAAACTTATCCATTTTACTGTGCTCTTTTATGGGTCCTTCAGGGTTGGAAAGAAGGGAAAGAGATATATAGAGGTAAAGAAATGTTCTTTCCTAAATGAGTTCTTCGAAGAGTCTCATCTATGGGGATCTCTGACATGGGAGGGCTATGTTTCCCTGGGCAGGCCACTTACAATTAACCTTTCAGCCCCTGCCTTCTCACAGTCTGTCACAGATCCTGAGGGTAGGGGTCGCTTCATTCTTCCAGATATACCTCTTGAGTGTGGTATCTTTAAAAGATTTAGACTCTCTCTCATGTCCACAACTGACCCTCAGAACACACCTTTCCCTTGCCATCACTCTACCTCAGAGCAGCGTCAAACTCACCTTTTGACTTTTTTAGGATGAGTCAGGTACCAGTCTATCTGTCCCTCAAACTCCATGTCAAGTTCTCTAAATGATTCTCTGACTCTCTACCACTCTTGCCTGGGGGTGGCAGAAGTGGAATGCACAGCACAATGACAGCTCTCTCCAAAGGAATTCTCACGACAAGCCTCAAGATCAATCTCCTGGATTCCACTTATATGCCCTGTAGGTAAAAGATAAAAATCACAAAATCAGTTATCAGTCTCTTTACAATGTTAGTTAGTGGTTAAGTATGCAGATTCTAGAACAACTGAGCTCAGAACTCTGCTCTATACTATTTACTAGATAGCTGACCTTAGTTAGACAAGACACAATCTCTCAGCATCCTTACAAAGTACTGGAACCCATAAGAAATAAAAGAAATACCTACAACATAAATTGTTTTAAAATTAAATGTGTTAAGTACTTAGAAAAGTGCCTGGTCCCCAATAAGGAGGCAAATCTACACATTGTGTGTCTTTTGATATGATGCACTGAGAAGTACCCAACATCACCCATGTAGGATTCTTGTCCCCCAAAATTTAACTGGAATCTAATCATGAGAAAACAATCAAACAAATCCAAATTGAGGTTCAGCTACAAAACAACTGCAGACTAGATTTCTCAAAAATATCAAAGTTGTGTAAGATAAAGTAACTGAGATGGGGGAGGAGAGCTGGGGAACTCTTCTAAATTAAAAGAAACTCAAGAGGCATGACAACTAAATGCAATGCATGAACCTTGATTAAATCTTGGATATTATTTTAAAATAAATAAATAAACACAAAAAGAAAATCAGATAAAGGACATAATCAGGACAATCTTGGATGTCTACATATAAACTGAATATTAGAGAATAAGATTTTATCATATTATATTTCTTGAGTTAATGTCCTCCTTCTCAGGAAACATAACATATGCTGAGGTATTTAGGGATGAAGAGTCATGAAGTCTGTACCTTATTCTCAAATTATTCTTCAAAATATTATATTAAAAATAAAAATAATAGTACAATACACATAACAAATCTCTTAGAACAATTGGCACATAAGAAATAATCAGTAAATTATGTATTATTAGCATAGCTACCTAGATAACAGGAAAAATCACATTTGAAATTATTATACATTTGTCAAATTGAAGTACTGTACTGAATTATGAATTTCCTAACATCTTTCCTAACATTCCACTGTACATATATACCACATCTTCTTTTATCCATTCATCTGTTGATGTACATTTAGGTTGCTTCCATGTCTTGGCTATTGTGAATAGTGCTGCAAGGAACATTGGGGTGCAGGTATCTTTTTGAATTATAGTTTTCTCTGGATATATGCCCAGGAGTGGGATCCCTGGATCATATGGTATCTCTACTTCTAGTTTTTAAAGGAACCTCCATACTGTTCTCCATAGTGGCTGAACCAATTTACATTCCCACCAACAGTGTAGGAGGGTTCCTTTTTCTCCACACCCCCTCCAGCATTTATTATTTGTAGACTTTTTAATGTGGCCATTCTGATTGGTATGAGGTGATACCTCATTGCAGTTTTGATTTACATTTTTCTAATAATTAGTGATGTTGAGAATCTTTTCATGTGCTTGTTGGCCATTTGTATGTGTTCTTTGGAGAAATGTCTATTTAGGTCTTCTGCACATTTTTTATTGTTTTCTTTTTTTTTATATATACTAAGCTGTATGAGCTGTTTGTATATTTTGGAAATTAATCCCATGTTGGTAGTATCATTTACAAATATTTTTCCCCCAGTCAATATGTTGTCTTTTCATTTCGTTTATGGTTTCCTTTGCTGTGTAAAAGCTTTTAAGTTTATTAGGTCCCATTTGTTTATTTTTATTTCCATTACTCTAGGAGACAGATCCAAAAAAAATTTGGATTTATGTCAAAGAATGTTCTGCCTACGTTTTCCTCTAGGAGTTTTATAGTAGCCAGTCTTACATTTAACTCTTTAATCCATTTTGAGTTTATTTTTGTGTATGGTGTTAGAGAATGTTCTAATTTCATTCTTTTACATACAGCTGTCCAGTTTTCCCAGCTCCACTTATTGAAGAGACTGTCATTTCTCCATTGTATATTCTTGCCTCCTTTGTCATAGATTAACTGACCATAAGTGTGTGGGTTTGTTTCTGGGCTCTCTATCCTTTTGCATTGATCTATGTGCCAGTACCATATGGTTTTGATGACTGTAGCTTTGCAGTATAGTCCGAAGTTAGGGAGCGTGATTCCTGAAGCTCTGTTCTTCTTTCTCAAGATTGTCTTGGCTATTCAAAGTCTTTTGTGTTTCCTTGCAAAATTTTTAAGTATAATATTTGTTCTAGTTCAGTGAAAAATGTCATTGGTATTTTGATAGGGATTGCATTGAGTCTGTAGATTTCTTTGGGTAGTATGGTCATTTTAACAATACTAATTCTTCCAATTCAAGAACACAGTATATCTTTCCATCTTTTTGTGTTTTCTTCAATTTCTTTCATCAGTGTCTTATAGTTTTTTGAGTACATGTCTTTTATCTCCTGAGGTAAGTTTATTCCTTTTGCACAGCAAAGGAAACCATCAACAAAACAAATAAACAACTTACTGAATGGGAGAAAATATTTGCAAATGATATGATTGATAAGGGATTAATATCCAACATATGTAAACAGCTCATACAACTCAACATCAAAAAAAATTTTTTAATGGGCAGAAGATCTGAATAAACATTTTTCGAAAGAGGAAATGCAGAGGGCCAACAGGCAGATGAAAAGATGCTCACCATCACTAATCATCAGGGAAATGCAAATCAAAACCACAATGAGATATCACCTCACACTTATCAGAATGGCTATCTTCAAAATGAACACAAATAACAAATGTTGGAGTGGATCTGGAGAAAAGGCAACTCTCATATACTTTTGCTGGGAATGTAAATTGGTACAGCCAATTAGAAACAGTATGGAGATTTCTCAAAAAACTAAAAATAGAATTACCACATGACCCAGAAATTCCACTCCTGGGTATATATAAAAAACAAAAACACTAATTCGAAAAGATACACACACTTCAAAGTTCATAGCAGCATTATCTACAATTGCCAAGATATGCAAGTGATCTTCTGTCCAGCAACAGAAGCATGACTAAAGAAGATCGGTAATACACACAATGGAATACCATTCTGCCATAAAAAAGAATGAAATTGCCATTTGTAACAACATGGATGGACTTGGAGAGTATTATGCTACATAAAATAAGTTAGACAAAAATAGACAAATACCATATGATGTCACTTATATGTGGAATCCAAAAAATACAACAAACTAGTGAATATAACAAAAAAGAAACCAACTCACAGATATAGAAAAAAAAACCTGATGGTTACCAGTGGGGAGAGGGAAGGAGAGAGGGGCAATATAGAGCTAGAGGATTAAGAGGCAGAAACTATTATGCATAAAATAAGCTACAAGGATATACTATACAACACAGGGACTATAGACAATATTTTATAATAACTATAAATGGACTATAACCTTTAAAAACTATGAATGACTATATTGTACACTGGTAACTTACATAATATTGTATATCAGCTCTAACTCAATTAAAAAAAATTTTTTTAAAGTTAAAAATAGGGGCTTCCCTGGTGGCACAGTGGTTGAGAGTCTGCCTGCCGATGCAGGAGACACAGGTTCGTGCCCCGGTCCGGGAAGATTCCACATGCCGCGGAGCGGCTGGGCCCATGAGCCATGGCCACTGAGCCTGCGCGTCCGGAGCCTTGCTCTGCAATGGGAGAGGCCGCAGCGGTGAGAGGCCCGCATACTGCAAAAAAAAAAAAAGTTAAAAATAATTTTTAAAAATCAATAAAAGACAAAAAAAGAAGAAATCAATTGACTATAGATGTATAGGTTTATTTCTGAACTCAATTTTATTCCATTGAATATATTCTGTATGTCTATCCTTATGCCAGTACAACACTGTATTGATTAGTTTAGTTTTGTGGTAAGTTTTGAAATTGGAAAACATGAGTCCTCCAACATTGCTTTTTTTTTTGTTAAGAGCGTTTTGACTGTTTGGAATCCCTTGCCATTTGTTATGAATTTTAGTATTAGCTTTTCCATTTCTAAGTCCATTGGGATTTTCATAGAGGATGCATTGAAACTGTAGATCACTTTTGGGGAGTATTTCCATCTTAACAATCATAAGTCTTCCAGTCCATGAATACAGGATGCCTTTCCATTTATTGATGTTGTTTTAATTTTTTCGGCATTGTTTTGTAGTTTTTTGTGCACAAGTCTTGCACCTTCTTAGTTAAATATATTCCTAAGTGTTTATTCTTTTCAGTGCTATAATAAGTGGAATTATTTTCTAAATTTTCTTTCAGATTGTTCATTGCAGTGTATAGAAATACTAGTGATCTTTATGCATTGATCTTGCATCCCACAACTTTGCTAAAGGTATTTATTAGAACTAATGACAGGTGGATTCTTCTGTTTGCTCTGCATTCAGTCTGTTGTTATATATTGTTTTGGTGGAAGTATATGAAGAAAATCCAGCTTCTCATATTTATTTAGTTAAGATAGGAAAAAAAGAATTTTAGCAAGTTTTTCAGATAATTATAGATGTTTGTCTTTGATAACTATATCAAGTCTCAGTAAGTGATAGTTTCTTAAAGGTTAGCTGCAATGTGGCATGTGAAATCATATCGATAAGCATTTTTTATTTACTCACATTAAAATCCCTTGGTCTTATACTTTATCGTTTTTAAAAAATATTTATTTATTTATTTGGCTGTACCAGGTCTTAGCTGCGGCACGCAGGATCTAGTTTCCTGATCAGGGATGGAACCCGGGCCCCCTGCATTGGGAGCGCAGAGTCTCAGACACCAAGGAAGTCCCCCTTGGCCTTATACTTTAAATGCATCTTTTATCTGTGCATGATCTTGTAACACTGTACATTTGGAAAATATTAGGTATACTGAGTTATGAACATTGTTTAAGAGTTGATACTTTTCATAATATGATATTTGAAAAACCATGTTATTATAATATCACCACCAATTTCATCACAAAATTCTTTCAGTTTTGGGAAGCTGCCAAACTTATAGAGGCAATAAAAGTTTTCTAAAATCTAATTTTTGTTTGAGATAAAGCTTGAATTTTATCAATGGTAGCAAATGCTGTCTTGTTTTCCTTGATGTAACTGGCTTACTCTGTCCATTTTCAAGAAAATGTCCACCAAATATCCAAGTCTTATTGACCATAGTTTTTCTATCAGTCATTCTTTCTATTAAATTTGTGTCCGATGATAAAAATGGCTTGTTCAGCTTCCAACTCAACTCAAGGGCTTTTCTTCCAAACAACCACTGTACTTTGATATGTAGTAGAAGAACTTTATGCAGCTTTAACATTTCATCAGAAAGAATAATAATAAGTAGTCAAGGGTTGAAATTTAATAATTAAGGAACATTCTCAAGTAAAGGTTTTTTTTAAAAAAAAAAAAAATGAGTATGGAGAATTCCCTAGCAGTCCCGTGGTTAGGACTTGGTCCTTTCACTGTTGCAGGCCCAGGTTTGATCCCTGGTTGGGGAACTAGGATCCTGCAAGCTGCGTGGCACAGCCAAATAAATGAATAAGTAAATAAAATTAAAAATAAAAAATGAGTATGTA